TAAAAGAGCACGTAGCCTGGTTGAGGGACAGCCGGGGTGAGATAGACATGATAACAGTCTATAAATATTCACAAAGCACAAACACCAAGGAAGGGAAGGAATTTCTCGCAGTGAATAAAGAGGTTCTGTTGGGAGTGAATGAAGAGAGGAAAAAATGCGGCTTGTGTGTCAGGGTGAACTTTTTGAGGCACAGTGGAGTGGGCAGCGTAAGCCCACTCGCTTGGCAGGATTCTGAGGGGCTGAGCAGAGCCTTAGAGCAGGAACAGCCCGCGCCGGGCAGGGAGTCAGGGGGATGCGCTCAGCGGCCTCTCAGTCCCCGCTGCCACGGGACAGAGCTCTCTCCCGGGCACACACGTTGTCCAGCCCTGCGCCGGGGCAGAAACGGGGGCTGGAGGCAGAAAGGGGTTCAGGTGCACATTGACACCAGTGACTGCGAGAGGCACTGACCTGCTGGGCACAGCGGGGATCCCGCTCGGTCCCTGCAACACCAGGTACGCGCCGCTGAAAATCCAAGCCCAGGAAACTAAATTATATACCCACTAAAGCAAGAACAATCCTTCTGTCCTCTACTTAGCACCTAACACAACAGGTCTCTTGGTGCTGCTGAAACAATACGGTTTTTACTAATAAAAATAGGATCTAACAGGATCTAATAGTCTGAGGCTGCTTGGCTCTGGGAAGCCAAGGATGAGAAGGGCATTCAAAGCAGTTGTAGCGGGAGGCATCCTCAGAAAAAAATCTCTGCAGGAAGGTGGTAAACTGATACACAGCCCACACCAGAAATAAGCACATGTTTGACTTAGAATCACAAGTGACCACAGAAAAAGGTTACTTGTTCAGCTGAAGCACAGAATTAAAGTTACTTCTAACATGTGTTTTGGGGTCTGGGTGTGGTTTCTAGATAGCCTGAAATTTCAGTCTACTGTTTTGCCTGTCAACATTAGCCAAGTTTTGATGTGTTCCAGTTCTCTTAAATGCTGCCGACAGATGCTAAAATCAAAGTTGACATTCAACCTACACGCTGCATAATCTAATAACGGGACTCGCGCTACTCAAAACTAACAAAACTCAAGAGCTTTTTTTTCAACAAAACTTTGCTGTCATTTTTATTTTCATCTGTCTTTTCCAGGGAGTCTAACTGGGAAAAATGATTTTTTTCTCTGAAAAAGCTTCTTTGAAAAGTTTTAAAACTAAGATGTCATTGTATTTCTGTATCGACATGGGGCACAGAGACACCTAAAAGCCATTTAGACCTGCCAGTGCCCAGCAGCCGTGGGTGCTGTAAGAATGTGAAGAGGGTGAATCCAACTGTCTCTGTGGGGAGGCTGGCACACACACTGATCTCAGAGCGCAGGGTGATCACCCACTTCCGAAGGTCTCTGTCTTGACTTACACAAGGCCAAAATGTCACACATTTGTCAGTGTTTCTTATTAACCCAGCAGAAACTGCAGGGGACTTTTTCAGTGGTCGACCAAAGGGGTACACTCAAGTTTAAAGCATTATTTTCAAAACTACACTCAATCAAATCTCTTCAGACGCTGGGGGTGAGCCTTTTCCTGTTGGTGTATGTACCATCACACCGGCTGTAAGTGGGGAGCCGCTGCTGCACCAATCCCAGTGTCTCTCTAACCATGCTGAGCTCCACTGCTGCACTCTCAGCTTCAGCTGAACTCAAGCTGTGATGATTTAATAAGCTATTCACTGGAAATGAGAAAACATCATATGAAAGACATGATTATCACACCATCACCCTGCAAAACCTCAAAAATAATGATGGATTTCAACCCTTTTATCACTTAACACTCTGGAGCTTCGGCATTTCAAATAGGCATCAGAGTTTCTTTTCTAATGCACAGAAGCAGACCTTTCCTAATTTTGCATTTTAGAGCATGAGACCTCTTAAATCCTTAAAGAAAATAAAACCACAGAGTGCAGACTTACTAACCTCTCAGGTTTTACACAATTTAAACTAGGTAGAGATGGAGCTGTTCTATGAATCATATTTTCAGTTTCTGGCAGCACTGGTAGCCTACAGAAGAAGGGTTATGTATTAAAATTCTCTCTTTCTCACTGCCAGTGTCTTTGTATTATTGTATGTGAGATGCACCATCTTAAAATCATGAAGTTAGAAACTCTCTGTTTTCATAGCTTTACCTTCCTTGGCAAATAAATAAGAAAAGCAAATGAATTGTGTAAGAGCATTGCATAGGTGCTTCCGAATTCTGAGGTTGATTTTAGCAGCAATGGGATCTCATGCATGAAAGCACTGTCTTTATAGATGACATATGCTATGTTGTGGGGAAACACAGGATCCCATTGAAAGCAAAATCTCTTTCCAAACTTTGTTCTGCCAGATGCAGCCTCCCCTAGCATTGGATTCCAGCTTTGGTTTTCTTCACAGCAATTTCTGGCTTTTGAAAATCTCCTTACTCAACAATTTGTGCTTGTGGGGAAAATATAGAAACCACACGATATTTTTTCACTTGTGCTTTTTTTACATCTCAGGCCTGTTTTTATCTATATCCATATTCTTTGAAACATGGCTAACCTATAATTATGGAAAGAACAAATAGAGTTGTATCACACGATCCAGTAGAATACATTAGTTGTTGATTTTTTGGCCAGCTTGAAAAATGAAGAATAAAATCCACCAACTTGGTAAAAATAAATTAGCTAGGTAAACATTGCCCAAACACATATCTGAATCAACAACAATGATGTTAATTTGATCATCAGCACATATACTTGCATGTGTAAACACACTCCTCTCTGTATTGAATGAACTACTATCATTTATGGGATTCTCTTCCTAATCTTGTAATTGAATGCAATTGCTGATCTTGTCCTACCCCAACACTGTAATTTTCAACCTTAAAAATAAGAATAGATCTTTTATGTTAAAGCCATGTCAGAGGAGCTACACATGAAAAATATCAGCGTGGTGTTATTGGAATGTAAAGACTTTAATGAAAGCTTAGGTAAAACTCAGTAAGTCTCTGGGGACATTTCCAGGAATGAGTGATTCTTTGCTGGAGGAGACTCCAAAATCAGATCCAGTTACCTAACTAAAGTGCTTTTTCAACTAATTATGCACTGGTGTCACGCTCGTGCTGATGGTCGGTTTTAGGCAAAATACAGCATGCCAGTCTTGCTCACGGTGAAGTCACTGGCAAACCTTGGTTTGATTTCACTGAGCTCTGGATCTGACTTAGCTATTTAAATATAAGTTTTAAGGTCCAGCTTCTGTTCTTACTGAAGTCAATGGAAATTCTCTCACTGACATCAGATGGAAGAAACACAGGGTTGAAATTAGATTCAAGAAATAAGTATTCTAATTAGACTTAAGTGAATAACCTTACATAACGCAGTGTAACAGACCTCTGAGCAGAGCAACCTGAGAAAGAAAACATATATTTCTTATCCTGTTAAGCCTTATCTTTGAGGAACAACATATGACAAAGACGCCACATAAGGAGAACAGCAAAGTAACAGAAAAGATACCAAGAAGTACCTTGCCTAGAGATTTCTTCCTGCAGTCTGGACCTTTACTCTTAACACAAGTAATGTCTGGTGGCTGTCACTAACAATTCTCTCGCAATGATCACTAAACGAAACCCTGAGCTGGAGAGACAAGTCAGCACGGTGCTTTGCTGCCCCAAACCTCAGGTGAGTAATCTAAGTGGCAGAAAGGACGCTGGCAGCAGGAACCCAGGTGTCTGGATTTCCAGTGCCCAGACCGTAGGGGGTGCCTGGGCACCCTCCCACCTTCCCTTCACCTGCCCCTTCTGCTCAGGGTGTGGGGTCTCAGCTGGGGGTCCCCCCTTGCCTTTCCTAGGAAAAGACTCTCTCCAAGGATGGAGGAGCCTCAGGCTCTGCTCCTTGTCGTAAACAGACATCATTTTGCCTTTTTTCACAGCACAGTTGTCTTTGTTCTCTCATATGGTCCCTTAAGACAGAGCGTTTTCTTCTAAAACCGTTCCAAGAAGTGTGGGGTTGAGGGACGCCTTTCTGAAAAGGAGCCGCAAAGATGCAGCCCGCGCTGCTGCGGGGTCCGTCCGCGCAGCTGGGGCTCGTTGGCGCGGCCCCGGAGCAGGAGACGACCTGTGAAGCCGTCCCTTGGCGGGGCAGGTGCTGGATCCTCCCATGGATAATTCCCAATGAAACGCTTCTGGATCTAAACCCAGCCCAAGTGCTCGCCCTGCCCGCCCCCCGCTCCCCCCCCGGCAGGAGCGACCCGCAACGGGGAAAGTCCGGCAGAGGATGGGGGTGACAGCGACCCCACCGCCCCAGCAGCCTCGGGCGGGGGGCAGAGGCTGAGCCGCAGCCCGACACCGCCCGGGGAGCCCCCGCCGGACTCCAGCCCTGCTGGCGGCTCCACCGGCCGCTCCGGAGCGGGGACGGGAAAGGCTGCGGGGAAGCCCCTCGGCGGGGAGCGGTTGCCCCCCTCCCCCCCGCTTCGGCAGCATTGCCGGGGCTACGGGCTCCCTCCGGGGCTCTCCCCGTCCCTCCCCTCCGCAGGCAAGCGGCGGCGGGCGGTGCGGGACAGCGCGGACGCCCCGCCCGGGCACCGCGGGTGCGCTCGGCGGGGAACCTTTCCCGGGCCGGGCGGGCACCGAGGGGACAGCGGGGCAGGGGGCGAGCCGGTGGGGCTCCGGGGCCCTCCTGGCCAGCAGGGCCGGGGGCGGCGGGGACCGCCGGGGGACCCCCGAGCCGGCCCCACGGAGAGCCGCCCCGCAGCCTCCCCGCACGCTCCCTGGAGCCCCCGCTCCCCGCTGGCCATTGCCCCGCGCCCTCTTTGCGCCCTCCTGGCCCTTCCTCCGCACCCTCCGCACAGCCCCCTTGCACCCCAGTTCCCTGCAGCCTCCTCCTGCTCCTCCACAGCGCCCGGGGGAAGAGGGGGGGTGGCGGGGAGCCCCCTGAGGGGGCCACCCCGACTCCGGCACCCGCTCCCGCTCCCCACCACCCGCCCCGGAGCGGAGCGGCCGCCGGTGCCACCTACCTAGGAGCAGCCCGGCGAGGCACCAGCACCGGAGCATGGTGGCCGCTGTGTTTCCTCGCCCGGCGGCGGCAGGAGGGGCGGACGGCCGCCGGTGCCCGCGGGCTCAGCGGGGCGGCGCGGCCATGGGCCGCCTCCGGCGCTCCGGTGCCCGCGGCGGCGGGACCCGGCCTCGGCCCGCGGGGGGTGTCCGGAGCGGTGTCTCTGCTCAGCCCCGCGTCTGCCGAACGTGTCGGGGGGGAGAAGTAAAATATGTCTTTTTTTAAAACCCCACCAGAACCCAGCCCGCCCTCGCCGTGGAGAGCTTCCCCCCGACTGCTGATGGCTCTAATGGAGCTTGGCAGCCACAGGTTCCAGTTGCCAGAAGAGGTGGAGACTCCGCCGCCTGCGCCCCACATGCGGCCGCACCGCACACGCGGGGGGAGGCGGAGGCGGAGGAGGAGGAGGAGGAAGGCTGCCCCGCCGCGACGGCCGGTCGACGGCACCCCCGCCATGGGGCCGGCACCCCCAGCCGCGGCCGGCACTTTGGCCTCAGGGCCCACCTCTTCTCCCCCGGGGCCTGGCCCGGGTGGCATCTCTGGGCGTGGGGCGCCATAGCCCTGGAGGGATGCTCTGCGCCTCAGAGGCCCCGCGGCGGGCCAGGGCGGGTGTCCCCCATGGCAGTGAGGCGGCCCCAGCTACCCCGAGCTGCGGGGCTCAGCCAGCTCTCCTCGGCAGGGCTCATCCCCACTGCCAGGCCTTCCTGCCACGGCTCCCTCAGACCCCACAGTCCTCCTTCATCTTCATCCTCTGCTGCCGGGGCCACTGAGAGACACCAGTGCGTCCCCTGCAGAGCCTAAAGCCTTAAAAAACCCCTTAACATCCCTCGCTGAAAACTGTAGGACCCTCTGAAGGTGACTCTGAAGTGTGCCCACCTGGGGCCCTCGCAGTGGTGCCAGCCATTTCCCTTCCCTCCCCATGACCCGGCAGACAGAGCCGCAGCAGATGAAGGGCTTGTAACCAGCTCTTGGCATGGAGCTAAACACAAATCCCGACTCAGACATGCCTAGGACAAAACAACGCATCTCCTTGTCTATATTGGTGAACCTCCCTGTTCACTCACCGCCCTCGGAGCGTGGTGCGGGGCCGGGTGCTGTGGGGCCGGGGTCTGTGGGCAGCAGGGAGGGGGCGGCCGCCCCGCTCTGAGGGGCCAGCAGCTCACCCGGGGGCTGGCGCCGGGGGCTGGAGCTCAGTGCCTTTTTCCAGACTGAAAAACTAAGCTCAGTTTTTGCAAATGAGGCAAAGAAATCAAAATACATGCATGCCCCCAGCAGAACCCCAGGACCCGGCAAACTCACTTTTCTTAGTGAAACTGGCTGTTTCACTGTGTAAAGGGAAACTGTAGGGTAAAAAAGCTCATCTCCAAGATCACAGGGGTGATCCTGCTGAGTGCAGCATGGGGAAGTGGAGGCCTGATTCTGCAGGCACATATTTGCTGAGTGGAGGCTTTAGCGCGCTGGGGTGAGGTCTCAGTGCAGCGGTTTTATTACTTTGTCAAAAATAACGCATAACATCTTTAACACAAAGGGGGACAAACTTATCTGTCATGGGTGCATAAAGAATTAAAGTTTAATGATGGTTGCCAAGATTAAAATAACAAAGTCCATTCGTAATGCAGGCACTCCTTTTTCTAGCTGATGTTTTTATCTCTTTTTTGTTTCTCGAATTCCCCAAACCAGTCATTCTCGGTAAATGTCCAAACCACTGTAGTTTTACTATATTTACAAATACATAAATTATCAAATGCATAGGCAAAAATTTTGTCCTTTATAATGATGCTAGAGAGAAAGGAATAATTTTGCAAGAAGTTGCCCTTACAAAGCAGGACATACTCTTTTCAGACCCAGTCCAGTGAAACCCAGAAGGATGATGGTACGGGTAATCTACTTGTAACAAACTCAGTTTTCAGCTATGTACCTCTAATGTCTAGTCCTAATCTCCTTCATTTCTTCTGGAGTATTTTGAGAGTGTTTTTTTGAGAGAGGGAGTAAAACCAAAGCAATTTCAGAGTACTTTTACACAGGTGTTGGAAAATTTTAATAATAATATGTAAATTATCCTGAGCTTTTACCATTCATCAGACCAACGGGGCACAGCGACAGATTTCATTCATACTGCCTCTTTCCTCCCTGCGGCTCCCGAGGGGCCTTATCACAGTATCCAAGTCCTGAGCACGTTTTCTGTGGAGGGATTCCTGCTGCCACCCGTGGGTCAGGGATCTCCGGAGCCCAGCAGCACGGCCTTTCCCAGCGCACTGCCCCGGGAGGGACACAGCCCGTGAGAAACGCCGGTGGGAGCTGGACGGGCCATCGAGTCTCCCAGCCTGGATGCCGGCCAGGGCATCAGGCTTAAATTCTCAGCTCATGTAAAAATTGCTGGGTAATCTTCAGCTCCTGCAGAGGAGCAGCAATGTAAAAATGCCTATAATTTTTATTATCAAATAATTACTGAATACCTGCTGGGTAATGCTCATGGAGGGAGACAAATGATTGCAAATAGCCTGTAATTCCAGCAGAACTATGTGGCCCGATTTATGCATTCAAAGTGAATATAGGCTGTTCCTATTCTGACTCAGGAGCGCTGTGTTCATGGCACTGTAAATACTAACGCAACGGCAGGGTAACTGGGAACCAGACCAAGGTGTTTTCACATTAGCTACGCTTCACTTCCCTGGCACCTTGTGTAATATTCATTCCTGTGCAAAGCAGGTACAGAATGCTTGAACTCAGAATCATGCACTCCTGTCAGCGGTACAGGGCAACGAGTTGCCTAGCCCCCAAAGGCCAAATATTTTCTCTTCCCCTTGCCAGACTAGCAAGGATAGGCAACCACACATGAGGGCAGCAGGCCAGGAAACCAAAGATTAATAAGCCAACAGCTCTGAAAATACTGTTTGTCTGAAGAAAGCAATCCTCTGGCGAGATACTCTGGTCCCCAGAAAGCTGTGTCCATAAGCCACAGCCATGCTGCTTCTGAAGCTCAGTCTCAGAGAGGTAATACCAAGGGATACAGTGTTTGCAGAGCTGAAAATACTGGGTGACCTGAAAGTGCTGAGTATGTGCATTTACAACTGACATTTACTCTGCAGAACCACCTGCTCTTTATTTCAGTTTCAGGGGTGTATTTTATGGAGCTATGGGAATGCGTATGCCCTAACAGCTTCCTAGGGTAGCTTATATGTTTAGGCACAAGACTACTGCAAAACTGTTAGTGAATGTACAGTATTAAAAATAAAAACAAACCTTTGTTAACATTCAGAGTCTGCTCTCCTCCAGGTAACTTCAACTGCCATGGATGGTCACCTGTAAAATGTTGTTCTGCATTGGCAGAGCTACATCTTTCTCAATGTCTGTGAATGACTTCCAACCTATGGCTTCTTTTGTCAAGCCTCAGCCAAGAGCAGACGGCATTGAATAATAAATCCCTGTTTTGGGGGGCTTGTGGGAGGAGAAGGGCTAGGCATCCCTCATGGCAAGAGCTTCACTGAATCTCACTGGGAAACTCTGGAGGGAGCTATATACATTTAACACTCTTTGACTCACCCAGAGATGGACCATGATGCAGAGCTGGCAGGTGGGGATGGAAAAAAGATATTAAAAAGCTATAAAAAATAAACAAGCCTGGAAAGGATTCTTGAATTTCTCAGGAAAAAAAAATTAATAAATGTAAGGTGCAGATTCATTCACTCTTAAGTAAAACAGTTAATAGGTGTAGAGAATTCTTCACCAGAAATACAATGCACAGAGCCTTTATTCATTAACTCACATAACATGGCCAGAGGAAGACAGCATTGTCTTCCCCACAGGGACTGAGGGGCCGGGGACGCTATGATTTGCTCAGACACACAGTTGGTGTCGTCAGTGCCTGTCTCAGCCCATCTCCTGCCGCAGCGGCAGTGACGAGTGCCCCATTCCCTGGGGTCGGGCACAGCACAACGCTGCCCTGTTGTGCTCCGTGCTGCACCACGGCCACATGCTTCCCATCGGTGAAGAAATCATAGCATTGCCCTTCTTGGTCACCCCTCAACTCCTACACCAGCCTGAGCTCAAGCAGGCAATTCCCTCTTGCTTTGTCGCGACTGACAACAGCCTCTTTGGCCTCTGCCCTGTGCGGCTGCTGGTGGCCACTGGCAGGGATGGCCAGCCCCGTGGCTGGCTGCCAGCCACCCAAGGGGAGCAGTGAAGGAAATATCACCTTCCTTTACCCTGTTGCTTTGCGCTATTCACTGAGGAGTAGCACTAAAAAAAATATTGCAGAGTCATAGGGTGCATATCCAGTGCACTGCACAGAGCAACAATAGGAAAATGTGAATAAACCTTCCAGGGTACCTGGCTCGGGGATGCATTTATATGCTAAGAAGCACGGGAGTATTATTTACAGGCTTAGCTGGGGTTTGTCCTTTCTGGAGAGGTCTGGACTGCTACCTGTTATACTTGGCTCGTGATGATTTAAATAGGAATTTATAGACCCTAAACCATCTGCAAAATGTCCCAGTTCTTCAAGGCCAATGTAAATGCAATGAGGGGGGAAAACCACAGAAAGAAAAGGTTAACAAGGTTTCTCCATGCCTCCCCCTTGGCACATTTTATAATTAACTTTATAATGTCTGAGAGCAAAGGTTTGAAGCAGATAAAGCTCCCACATCCTCAGAGATAATTGTGACAGTTTGTGTAGCACATTACACCAGAAACAGCTTGCTTTGGGTTCCCTGCACTGTCAGTTGTTGGGAACACGTGTGCTGCAGGGCACCTGGAGCATTGGCTTCACATATCCATATGAAAGCAGCTCGCTGTGATTTATATCATGTTAATCAGGAGGGTGCATTAATTTAAGGTCCCTTTTGGGTCTAGGGGAAGAAGAAAGAATAAAAAATGAGCCAGCTCTCTATCTAGTGCAAGGTGCCACTGTTTTCCAAAGTGTGAAGGAATTAAGCGTGTCGTTAGTTTTTACAGACACTGTAAGAGGCAGCTGGAGGAGAGATCTCGCTCCATGCTGCAGCAGGAGCCACAGGCCACGGAACCTTCTTCTGCCCCCAGACTCTATCAGCATTAAGGAAATTTAAAATTTAAATAGATCTTGAAACTCTAGCCCAGGTTTTCATATGAATGACAGATCTTTCCTGCCCTCAGTTCACCACATTTCTCCAAGCCTGAAAACTGACGCTTCCTTCTTAACAGCAAAAATGGGAAAGACGTTTGTGGTCTGGTGGTTACACCATGGGGTTGGGAAGCAGAAGAAGTGTTGTTTCACTTCTGGGCCAAGTTTCTTGTTCACCATGGACTT